GGGAGCGCTGGAGGCGGGGGTGAGGAGGGGGTGCTGCACAGGAGCGTGTCGGGACTGCAGCTCCTGTCAGTATCGAGGCAGTCCTGAACCCGCAGCACCCTCCTGTACCGGGGCTGCTTTGCCATGCAGCCCTTCCTCGTTCTACTATAAACCTCTTTCATGCTCTTCATGTTGGTTCACAGCTCTGCTTTTTTGTAATTCATAATAACACTTACCCTGTTCCTTGCGTTGTGTTGCAGTTTCATTTCTAAGAATTAATTACAGTACCACCCTCAATGGGATCAGGAGCACAGGAGGTGTCAGAAGTAACGCAAGCATTACCTGCTTGTCTTATCTCGTTCCATTGTTTTGTTTCACAAAGCTTTGTACCAATATCTGTGTGATGTATCAGATACAGCTTATAATGGAGGTACATGCGTGTAATCCGTTCCAAGTAGAGATTGCTGCGTTACTCCCTCTCATGACTCTGTTGAAGTTAGTAGCAAGATTCCCACTGATTTAAGTGTGATTTTGCTACAGAGTTCTCAAATGCTAGGAAGCAGATAATAAATTTTACATAGCATGTCCTGAATTCTGGATCATCCCTGGCTGAATGCAAGGGAGTAGGGCTGGAGCCTGGGATTAAACATAATGTTTCTCATGTAATGCCGCCCCTGAGTTTGACATCATTGCATAACAAATGCAAAACCTGATACTTAACACTTGGCACTTGCTGTCACTGCTGTTGGAAAGAAGAAGCCTCAGCTGGGCTGCAGGACTGCTGTCTCTCACAATTCAGCACGAGATTTTGCTTTAACCTGTTCAGTGATCATGAGAGGTGATGGGGGCTGAGATCACTTCACCTACTTTGAAGGGACTGAGTGGTATTTGGGACTCTGTAGACCCCTGCTCCCTTCCACCTCTCAGCTGAATGGCTGGTGATTTCAACAGTGTGCGTGGGCTCTCCAAGACCTCTGAATTCTCCAGGTCTGAACCTGATGGTCTTTCGGCAGAAGGCACGTTGTGATTCCAGATTTACTGACTTCACAGGGTTACTTGTCACGTAAGCCTCACTCTCTTGCAGCTACACCTACATGACTGCTTCAGGGGTCAGTGCTACTGTGCATGTGTTGCGCCTGGGTGTTGTCCTTGTAAACTCAAGCTGCTTCTCAGTGGGTGGCATCTCGGTAGCAACTGGGGTGATTCTTTGTCAGGTGTCAGCGCTGCCTCCAGCTTCATGTTGAAAGAGGGGAAGCCGCGCACATAATACTTGCTTTTGCACAGGGCAGGCCTTGTTGAGCAAGCCGTGAAGCTGCAATACACGCTGTTGAGATGAGATACATCCTGTGCGTGTTCCAATTAGAGAAGGGGTGAAGAAAGCAGAGCCTGCTACAGTGACCAGGAAATGTGGAGTTACACAAACCCAGCCCTGAACACCAGAGACACCTCCAGCCTGCAGAGATTTCCCGAGAGCACAGTGTCCAAGGCAGCCTTCAGCCGGCACAGGTGGTGTCTTTGTCCCTCACCTTCAGAAAAGAGTTCTCAAGAACTGGAGTGACAGGGCTGGAGGCCATCAGGGAGGCCTCGCTGCTCTTGTGGGAATCTTCACATGCAAGCAGAATAGTGCCCTGCATGCAGGGACAACCTGCCTCAGCTGCTGCCCTGCTAGAGAGGGGCATGTGTTTCACTGCGCAAGCAGCAGGAACAATAGAGTAGCAGTCCCTCTAAGCTAACTGAGGTAGGAGAGGCCATGTTGTGCAGGCCCCAGGGAGAGAAGCACATTCTCAGAATGTGTGGGCTGTTTGCCATAACTCATATTCATTCAAGGGCTGGGCTGGCTTTAATAGAAAAGGAGGGGCAAGGGACAGCTCAGCATTTTGCTTTATGCCACTCAGCCCTGAGCAAGAAGAAAGCGTGTGAGCATTTCTCCTGCCCTTGTGGCCAGAGGGCAATAGCTGCTCCTAGAAGTGCTAGACGAAGTCAAGGGGCACCCAGAGCCACCCCTCCTCAGGCAGGAGGAAGTTGGGCTGTTAGGCACATGCAAATAGTAGGGTGGGCCCCAGCCTGGAGATGGCCTCCCTGATTGAAAGGCATGAACTTAACTACCCTTTTTACCTCCTTTCCCAGTGAGGCCTCCAGCTTGTCACTGGAAGGCCACAGCAGACAGCACACAGAGGCACAGGAGGGGACCAGACCCAGACAGATGGGTTGGGGAAGGGCATAAGGAATGACCCCGCTGCCCACTAGGATGGGTGGGAAGGGCATAGCCACAGCCAGCCATAACACCAGGGCAAGGACAGATCTGGCCTTATTGGTATTCCCACCCTGCTGTACACTATGCCTCAGGCAACTAGCAACCAGCTTGGAGTTTATAAAGCCCAGCCCAAATTAGAGGCTAGGGAACACCTTTAGGGTCACAGGAAAATGATGCAGAAGGTAACACAAGGACAGCTCTAGCAGTCAACTTAAATGCTTTTATTGACAATGTCTCTGAACAATAATAAGCAAACAATGCTTAAGTTTCATCCAAATTCACTTTCCACATGTCAAAAAAGACCTCAAGGTAGAAAAAAATAAAATAAAAATATAAATATCTGAGAATCCATCTTAATAAATAAATTAAAAACACAATAAAAACGTTTTCATGGAAAACTTATGTCAGAACATTCAGACCACCTCAACAATGCATGATCAGTAAAGTTACAATGAACATCAACATAGAACTACAGTACATGGATATAGCTATTTATCTAACTACTAGAAAATAAAATAGTCTCTTTCCCCCCCACCTAAGATGGGTCATTGCGAAGTCATCAGAACACGATATTGCCAGGAACACAGTAGTTATTGTTAATCAGCTGCACTAGATACGAGTTGGAGATACCCAGCACCAGGTTAAATTCCAATCATTTAAAACCAAGAGATTAATTAGTTAATGCTAGTGATACTAAGGAGGGGAGGGAGTCACCTACCCAGCCATGTGGGACATGCTACAGACTACCAGCTCTCATGGATGGGCCACTGGGGACGCACCTCCCCAGCCATGTGGGACATGCTACAGACTACCAGCTCTCATGGATGGGCCACTGGGGACGAGACAAACTCCATGCGATTTGCTACATCTCTGGAAGAGGTACGAGGCCTCGGTGTGGGGCGCTCTGCCAAGCCCCACGGCACCAGGCCGGACAAGGAGGGGGGCGGCGGCGGCGGCAGCAGCGGGGCCCTCCCCAGGCCCAGGGAGCCCCATGGGGTGCAGCGG